AATGGATAACCATTTTCAATTTCAGTTGTAATAATATCGAAAATTTCTAATAGGTTTGTTTGGCACCCTTTATTTTGTACAAATCCATGTTGTTGAGACGTTAACAGATTGTTTTCTGTTATATAAATTATCAGTTTTTTTCTAATTATTTTCTCTATTATCTTACTTGGTATCGATGTTAAGGAGATAGGTCTGTAGTTGAGTGGATCTTTCTTGTCTCCTTTTTTAAAAAGTGGTTTAATGTTTGCAGATTTCCATAATTCAGGCAGCTCTCCTGAATGTATCGATTTCTTGAATATTAAAGACAAAGGTTTGGATAATCCTTCTGCACAATGCTTAGCACTTAGGGACTGATGTTATCACAACCAAGTGACTTGTTTTCATTAAGTTCTAATAAGTAATTAAGTATAATATCTTCTTTTAGTTCTTGGTCCCAGTCACATTTAAATAAATGACTTGTTTTATTGCTGAAATATGGTAGATCTTGATTTTCTTTGACAAATACTGATTGGAAACTACAATTTAGTAGATTAGCAATTACTTTTTTATCGGTTATTATTTTGTTGTCACTAGTTTTAAGTGCTAGCAATTTTGTGTGTCTGATTTTTTTTTGTGCATATGCATAGAAGCGTTTTGGATTATGTTTTACATCTTTTGTTTGTATTCTTGAAGTTTGTAGCACGAAATCTGCACCATAAACTACGTTTTTTTCTAACTAGATTCTTGATTTTTTTATTAATGCACGGATTTTGGATAGAACTAGAGGGTTTGAAGTGGCGAGGAATATATTCTTTGCAAGCTTTTTCATAAATTTTTAAAAAGTATTCATAACATTGATTTATACTCATTTTGTCAAAGATTTCAACCCAATTTACTTTATAAAATATGAGATTCATTTCTTTGTACTTTCCGTTTCGAAAATTAAATCTCTTATTGTTGAAATTTTTCTCATATGAATTGAGTATGTTAATCTCCCATTTTAATATGTAATGGCTATTAGTAATTTGACCAAGCGGAGCATCATATTCAATGTTAATTACTAAATCTAGATCGTCACATATTATTAAATCTAATATATTTGCTGGTTTATCAACAGCCATTTGAAAAGTTGGCTTGTTAACTACTTGATGTAAATAATTGTTTTGCAAGTTATTAATAAATGCTCTGCTTGTTTGGCAGAGCATTTATTAATTAGCATTTATTAATAGCTTATTTTCCATTCATTACTTCCTTTTTTGCAGTTTTTATTAATTCATTAATTGCATTATTTATTAGGTCAGTATTGTTTGGTGGTCTGTATATACATTTAACTAATATTTTTGTTTTATGAAGTATAATGCTACACCATATTTGATTAACTTCTTTATATAAAGAAGAAACTGATACTTTATAGAAATAATAGTTTCCTTCATTTTGATGTAAAATGCGAGAAATTTGAACGAAATTAAAAAAATTATTTTGCAAACTTTGTTTTTGCTCTCCTAACAAATTATGTTTAAGGTGGTAGACCACTATTAAAAATCAAAAAAATTGTTTTTTCAGTTTTAAAGTTTTTAATTAATATAATTATTGTAGATTAGGAATTTCGAATTAGTTTTATATAAAATTAAAGCTAACCCTATTAAAAACCAATTTTTAATAATGCGGTTTAGGATATTTTTAAAATTTTTCCATAGCAACGGATTGTTTATTCCGTTGCTATGGACCTAAAAAGCAAGTTATCTTTCAAAATACCATAAAAATTTCATAAAAAAACTATATGTGTGGCAACTGCTACTCTAAAACTACTTTTTGTTTAATAATAAATGTTTTTGGTTATGTATGTTACATGGTTATTAACCGATTTCTTCACTATATGTCTAATCACTTAACAACAACCACATCAATCTTTGGCTTATTCTCTGTGTTCTTACCTTGGATCATACCTTGGTTAAATAATTATTAAAATAATGGGAAATAAAGATAAAACAAATAAAATAAGCTATAGCAAAAAAAATAGAATTTTCAGAGGAAACCAACTTAAAACATCAAATATTGTAGCTGAAGAAAATCTATCTAATTTACAAGGATTACAATTCAAATGTAGCTCAGCAAAAAAAATGAACATAATGTCATCGAGTTCTAGTTATAAATCTTCTGTAGATATTGTAAATAATAATTTTGTAAATAAAAATAATTTTTCTGCTGATGGTGATCAGTACAATGACTGCTATATTTTTATAAACACTAACATTTTAGAAAAAATAATAACTACCATTGGCTGCTGTCCAAAATGTTCTGTAAATGTTACTTTTAACCATGATGCTAAACTTAAAATAGGTTTATCACACTGTATATTTATTTCATGTGGATCTTGCCAATGGAAACAAAAATTTTATTCAAGTAAAACTATAAGCAAACTAGTAACAACCGGTCCAAAAACTTTTGACATTAATTTAAGAATTATATTAGCTTTTCGAAAAATAGGTAAAGGATACTCTAGTATAAAAAAAATTCTGCGGTTTAATGAATATGCCTGATCCTATGAACAAATCTTTTAACTCATTAAGTGAAGAAGTTGCCAACTCTTACAATTACATTGCCGAAGCTAGCATGAATGCTAAAGAAGTAAGAATAATTAGTTTGAAAAAAAATTATAATGATTGTACAGTAGTTGATAAGGACATTTCAGGGGACGGAGCTTGGCAAAAGAGAGGATACTCATCACTAAATGGATTTATTACTATAATAAGCAAAACAAATGGAAAATGTATAGACTATCGCATACTTTCTAAGAAGTGCAAATCTTGTGAGTAATGGAATGTACACCAAGATTCACCAAAATATATGGCGTTTAAAGACAATCATGTTTGCTCGATTGATCACAAAGGAACGGCTGGATTAATGGTATTATTAGAGTTTTTGAAAAACTTTATTTAAAACCAGAACACTATTCTTCAAGTTTTTTTGCATCTTCTGATTTGAAAAGAGTTAAAAATATGAAAAAAATTGTAACAAAAAAACAAAAAGCAGGCGAAAGCAGTTACGGAGTATTCGTAAAGGATTTTTGGACAAAGATGAGGAAGAAGAGAGTTTATGTTATGGTGCAGGAGAATTTTAATATATATTTACTTTTTGTTTATTTATTACAAACAGATATTTACATTAAGTTGGTAAGAGTAAAAATTGAAACTAAATTGCAAATAAAAAGAATTTTTTTTCTTTTTCAAATTGAAGTATTACTTGGATAATAGTATTGTTTTATAATACTATACGATAAAATTTTATTTTAATTTTGCTTTAGTTTTACTCCACAACACTTTTATAATAAGATAATATTTGTTTGTAGGCTTTTTTTCTGTGTTTTTTATTTTTATTTGAAGAATTTTATGGTTTTTTTTGTTTAAATGTGTTTTTCTCAGTTCTTTAAAATTCATGACTCTGCGGTAAATATCTCTTTATTCTCTCAACAAATTTCTATGAAATTTTCAGGAGTTGTTCCTATTGTTATTACAGATGTCCCCTACCTCTTTTATTGCATTATGATAATTAGATAAAAAGATATTTAAGTCCTAATATGGTCAAAAATGCCTCTTTTTTTGTTTTTGAAGTGTTTTTCTTATTTAAAAAAAACTGGTCAATGTTTTTTTTTTGTTTTGGTACAGGATCTTCTTTAATATATTATAAGCATGTCTGAAAAATTTCAAGTTGATACCATGAATAGTTTTTGAGATATTTACCGCAACGAAATGACCCTATTTTGGGGTTTCCAGGACCAAATTTCTCAAACCGGTTAAATAAAAAAAAAAAAAAAAGATTTGTGATTAAAATGTGAATTTTAATTAACTTATAAAATAATAATTTGTAAAATATAATTTTTGAAGGATTTTATTTTAATAGTGGTCTACCACCTTAATAAAGTATTTTTTCGGGTTTTGATTCCATCAAATAAAATTGACAGCGGGTTATAATAGAGTATATATACTTTTGATTTTAGAGGAACCGATCCTTTGGGGTAAAGTTGGACAGCCGTGGAGTGATGTAGTGGGGCGAAGTGGTACAGCCGTGGAGTGAGTGGAACGAGAAAGTAATTAACAACATTTTAACAAAAATTATTATCAAAATCGTAAATCACGTAATCTTCATCAAAATATTGAAGAGGTTTTCATAAAATTAGACAAAAATAATATGAGAGAAATAGGAGATCAATTATCTTACTTTGTTTCACCTCACCTTTACACACCACGATTTTTACCACACGTAATAAAATAAACCGTTTGTTTGCTAAAGAGAGGGGGAAAAACTCCTGTTCTAATTAACGTTATCTAATGTTAACATTAGATAACATTAATTAGAGACCTCTCCTAATTGAAATTTTGAGATACCCTACTTCTCCCCACTCTCCCCTATATAATTGACTCATATAGTAGATAGAAAACCTCAAGGATTGCGTGGTATTGTATAACATATTTATAATTTAATGCTTCAAACAGTATTGTAATTTTTTTTTTAATTAATTATGTGGTATCGCTTGCGTAATTTAATTTCTTATCTGGTATTGTTACTTTAATTTATTGTGTAGTATCGCATCAGTATTTTAATTTTTCATCTGGATCCGTCTTTCGTTCTGTGTTCAACAAATATCGCGAAGTCAGAATTATCTTGTTATATCTCCATTTTTTGAAAAAATTAAGTTATTGATAGTATTATATACTTCAGAATGCTGTTTTTTAAGACGAAAGTCTTTACAAGGTGAGAATTAATTTAAGTAACAATGCCAGATGAGAAATAAAATACTAAATATCAGAGGAGAAAATAATAAATTAATATTTATTAATTTATATTGATTTTTCAACAAAGTAAAATAATCATCATTTATAATGTCTTTTATAACATTATTGACTAATAATTCAATTTATGACATTGTCATTTCTTTTTCAATTTTTTCTTATTGCAACTATGCAACCGTTTGATACGGTTCTTTATTGTCAAAATTGTGTGGTATAAAACTGATACCGATAGCATTGACAATAGTATATAATCGATACCACACGATACAAGACTATCTTTCTCGGTATCGATTGACACGATACCGAATATTTTGTGTTTACTATAAACATCTTTAAGAGCAAATATTTTTCAACATTAACCAGTTAAAATAAGACACAAATAAACGATTTTAATATTTCAGCGGTAACACAACCAGCGTCTTATCTATGAAAGCCACAATGTTTATTGTCGTAAACCAACCTAGGCTTTGCTTAAAACCCCCTCCCCCTCTCCCCTGCAGAAAACTGCAATTTTCGTAGTTTGCTACAGGTTTTTATTTTTACAATTTTACTAATTGTAAAAGTATAGCAATAATTAGTACACTTTCATAATTATCAAAGTTTAGATCAAAGATTAAAATAAAAAAGACCAGCACAAGATTGTCGAAATTTTTTTTTTCAATTTATTAAAAGTTTATTTATGTAAAATTAAGAAAAAAGCAGCAAAAATTCTCTCCTGTATACATGTATACAGTTGTATATGTATAAAACTAATTCAATATTCAACATTACTTCCTTAATGTTTTTTGTGCATATGATTTAATGTTTACAAAAAAAAAGCTTTTAAAATAATAACTGAGTTTATTAAACATGCACTTGGTCAAATGTAACACGGTATAACCATCACACTAATTAGTTTGAATCGGAAATTTAGCTTCACTTAAACTGCTGATTTATATTCCGACCAATTAACCAACGTCGTATTTCACTGGTCCCAGCACCTATTTCATATAACTTAGCATCTCGTAAAAAACGTCCTGTAGGATAATCATTTATATATCCATTTCCACCCAAACATTGAATTCCTTGCAAAGCCACCTGTGTGGCTTTCTCCGAAGCGTATAATATAACACCCGCACAATCTTTACTATTAAAATGTCCGCTATCAATAGCTCTTGCAACTGAGTATACATAAGATCGACTTGCAGAAAGTGCAACATAAATATCAGCTAGTTTTGCCTGCATTAACTGAAAGTGGCCAACAGATTCTCCAAATTGTTTGCGCGCGTGAACATAAGGAAACACAGTATCACTTACTGCTTGCATTATACCAAGAGGACCACCAGATAATACTAAACGTTCTATATCTAAGCCACTAAACAAAACATAGACTCCTTGATTAAGTTCACCCAATATATTTTCTGCAGGAACCCGGCAATTATCAAATACTAACTCACATGTATTTGATCCTCGCATACCTAATTTGTCAAGTTTTGGCATTGTGGAAAAACCTTTCATTCCACGCTCTATAATGAAACAAGTAATACCACGTGCAGCTTTTTCTTTATCAGACACAGTTTTAGCATAAACAACAAAGGTTTCAGAATCTGGTCCATTTGTAATCCAAAATTTATTTCCGTTTAGTATGTAATCATTTCCATCTCTATCAGCACGCAACTTCATTGAAACGACGTCCGATCCTTAAAAAAATAACAAAACTTAAAAGTTTAAAAATAAAAAATTACAATTGAAAACTGAATTTAAAAGTGAATCAAAAGCTAAAAGGTATAACCACAAATCTAAAAACTCCAAAAACATTCAAGATTTATTTCAAAAAATAAGGAAAACTAGTTTTAAATACAATGCGCACCACATTGACTACCACTTAACAATTATTTATATATTTTCATATTATCATTATGATTTTATATATATTTTGGCCAACCCTAATATATATATATATATATATATAAATATATATATATATATATATATATATATATATATATATATATATATATATATATATATATATATATATATATATATATATATATATATATATATATATATATATATATATATATATATATATATATATATATATATATATATACATATATACAGTTGTGAGCATGAAAATAGCAGTACCTGGAATATTTTGAAAACTATTGCGCAATTTTTTCTTACTTATTACTGAAAAAAATTTATTGCATTTATTTTGACACTTCAATCTAATAAAACAAAAAAAAATTACATCAATAATAGTTTTACATTTTATTTCAGAAAAAAAAACAATAATATCAAGAAAGCTCGCAGTCATTGAAATAGCAGTGGTATCTGAAAATAGAGAAAAAATTATTTTTTATGGTATTAAACATTAAAATTGCAAACTTTTGAACATTATAAAGTTAAAAATAAGTCTAATATAACAATATTTACCCTTAGTATTTCGTTGCAAAACCTTTGTTTGAGATAACGGCTTCACAACACCGATGCATTGAGTCAACTAGGCATTGACATTTTTCTGCTGGTATTGCGTACCATCCTTGTTGAGTAGCTTCCCATAACTGCTGAGCATTAGTTGGATTAGCAGTAGAAACTGCTTTTTTAACGTCTCCCCATAAGTTTTCAATGGGGTTTAGGTCAGGTGACAGAGCAGGCCACTCCATAACCTCAACCCCATTGACCTGAAACCACTCTTTTGCCTTGTGACTAGTGTGTTTTGGGTCGTTGTCTTGTTGAAAGACCC